TCTGGGAAGGAGACTAAGAAGAGTCTCATTCCAAGTTTGACGAGCCTCGGCCGAGAAGCCTTTTCCGAGCTCGAAGAGAGGAACTTAGCATGCGTCATGATGGCCAACCTCAGATACTGTAGCTCCGCGCCGTGGTTATTGCTGCAATTATCTGGAATAAAAAAAATAAGAACTCCATTTAATTTATTACAATGACAGGCATTCTTCCCCTGTGCTCATCTCGGGCTTTGCCGGCGCTCATTTTCAAGACCCGCTTTGCGGCTTTAATAACTTCCCCACGCCGTGACTATTGACCCAGCAAGTTCTCTTTGTTTTCCTGCGTCCCGGCGGTGTCTTAAGTGATTCGCTCTGCGGGCGCCTCCGAGCGCAGCGCGCTTGAGCAGGGGGGGACTGCGGGCGGACGGGGGGGATCAGTGTTCGGAATGAGCTTTTCTAAAACATGTCCCTCCAGGTCGCCAGGTGTGTTTCTCGGGGTGCAATATAGCAGCAACACCCCCCCCTCCCCACTCACCCCAAACCACCCTCCAGGTGAGCTGAATTTCCCTTGGCCTTCCCCAGAGGGTATTTCAGGAGCCACTAGAAGACACACAGCCGTGAGAAGCAGACGCTATCGGTTGAGGGGACCTCCGGCTCCTCTTCCTGATGCACTTCTGGGGGATACTCATTATGACTGCACCCCAACACCCAGGGGGCTCCTCTCCAATCTTTGTTTCAGGCCCGAGAGCCGTTAAAACAGCACCCGTCCTGGCCAGCACCTACCAGGCCATACGACCTGTTGGCAGCGACCCAGGCAGCGATCCCGTGGGCCAGCCCCCTGGAGATATAAATGAACCTCTCCCGAGACGGTGACAGTCGGCGCGATAACAGGCGCCGAGACGCAGGGGCGGGAGTCGGCTCGGGCCGCCGTGCCGGCCTTCACCCAGGAGCAGCCTCTCCGCGTGATGGATTGCAGGCGCGGCGCCGGCCGGGGCCGGAGATCTCAGATCTCATCGCCGTGTCCTCTGCTAGCGGCGCGCTCAAGGGCCTTTAGAGAACATCTCTGTTAGCTGTCTCTTCCCCTGGGGCTCCGCCGGTGGGCTGAGCAGAGAGCCGAGGCGTGCCCTCTTCCTTCCTGGCCTGGGCCGGTCTGGACAAGTGGTCAGCGTGGGGGCTGTCTGCCCTGGAAGTACAGGTCCTCCTGCCTTCTTCCCCCTTGTTAATTCTGTGTTTGTACCTGGCTTTAAGGAAGAGCCTACCAAAGTGGGTGCTGTGCTTTTGCTAGAATGTTTACCGGAACGTTGCATTGAAAAGAAAACCGCGCGGTGCGATCTGTGGTGTAGATCGATCCTGGGCCAGGGTGAATGAACTGACGCTCCACGATGTCCTGCTGAAGCCGTGTGAGTCAGACACTGTGTCTTCGGTCACGCCCGTGAGCCAGACACCTGTGCATTGCCGCAGGAATTCTGGAGGACAATGTGAGCATCTCAGTATGGCAGGGGCTGTGTGTGCATTGGTCCTCTGCAGCGCTGTACTTTTCTTCCTGGGGTGGAGAGTTAGACTGATGGTCTCTTCTGTTTCCCTCTTTCTTCTGTCCAGGCTACTACTTCGAAATCCCGTCCATCGGAGCCATCCGGATCAACACACAGGTCAGTCCTCACTCAGTACCTGCCCTCTTTACACGTTGTCTGCATGTCTTCATGTAAGGTGGGAGGCAAAATCCCTCCCGAATTCTGCATTAATGCACCCAGCTGAAGGTGTGAATAATTAGGAAATACTAAGAGATCCATCTGTTTTCGGTTGCTGTTTTATCTTCAGAGCATCGTGGTGAGGTGGAGTCTAACCCAGCAGATCATTTAATGATCATTGCCTTAAGATCATTTGATTTAAAATCCAAAAGTAAAAAGAATAACCAAAATAATCATTACTTTTTTGTGTAAAAGCATCTTAATCCACAGCAAATTGGAGGAGGGCTCGTTTCATCCCGTGCTGGGAGGGATGGAGGGTGTTCTGTAGCAGTAGAACGTGTGATCTCTGTGATGCTGTCTCAGGGCAAACATGCTCTGCCCCCATCATATCTTGCCCCACCCACAACGCCTGGCCCCGCCCCCCTCACACCTGGCCCCGCCTCCAGACCGAGATAATTTCAAGAGCAATTAATTGGACCGGGTTTTTACCTGCTGACAAGTCTTTACCTGCTGACAGTGCTCTTAGGGCGCTGTGTTACAGCCAGAGCGATCTCGCTGTACAGTACAAAGCAACACTCCTCAAGCTCGGGAGGGGCGTGGCGTGGCGTGCTGGTGGAGACCGAGTATGTGTGCTCTGAGAGCGCATTCCTCCGCAAGAAGTGATGGGAAGGAATGTCGGCCTCGTCATTTTCCCGGACTTTACCGGGAGAATCTCCCTAGCGGAGGTAACCCGGAAATGGGGCATTAGTACATTCTCTGGAAGGGATGCCCAAAGAGCTACCACTGGGAATCACACTGAGGTCTTCAACAAGTGGGGGAGGGGAGCCGCGCGAATGTAGTTTTTAATTCTGCCGACAGTGTATGTCTGCTCTCACGTATGGCAGATGTAAGTGCTCTCCCAGAGCCATTACTGCTGCGTGCCCTCTCACTTGCTGATCTCTCATAGGCAGACTCTTCGAGCCTACAGCCTTTTGCATATAAAATGCAATCAAAGCCGTCCAGGGAAGGGTAATCAGATGCCATGAGGGCCCCTTCGCCGTGATTGCGTCCTGATTTTCGCTGCACTTGCACTCGGCGCAGAACGAGGTGGTACGCAGACAGAGGAGGG